ACTCTCGACGCATCGCATTGGGCGTGGCTGCTGTGGTTTTCCTATTCGTATCTGGATCTTGCAAGTGTTGTAATTGAATTGCTGCTGCGGCGTGTGTGGGAGCTGCAAGATTTTCCACAATTAATATGCCCACAGAGAGCTCAATGAAAGGTGGCAGAGTCAGGCAGGCAGGCAGCAGATGAAAAATGTAGTAGTACAATGCGGTTTTTGGTTTCCTTGGGTCTTGATGTGGTTGGAACACTCTTTGGGTTACTTAATAGCACCGACAGGTGGGTGGCGGCATCCACAACGTTGTCGATATACTGGCAACTTGCAAGGCAGCCAGTTGATTGCTTGGATTTGCATGGAAATGGGGGAAATGGAACGGGGGAAATACGATTTACTGGTTCTGCTTAGACTATAATCTATTAGTGGTATGTGAAGAGTTAATTAACCCAAAGCTCATTATAATAGTTAAATTTTACAGAGCATTATTATTTTAATATATATTTTGTGATAACTAACACACAAAGATTCCTATATAAACAAACCAATTTAATTAATCTTAAAATCTCTTGATTTTTGCTTACATTGTCTTTAAAGTCCAGTCAATTTCCCTTTTTGGTGACCTATTTTTCACCCATTTTCCTTACTTCCTCGATTCCTGCTCTCTCTCTCTGGTTAATCTAACAAAATATTTCCATTTCCTCGTCGTTTATATTCCTCTTCAGAACACATGTCTGCCCCTTTGGTTTTCTAGCCTTATCGCAAACAAAGCAGAGAACTGAACTAAACTCTATCTCTATCTTTTCTTTTTTTTTTTACTTTCTATAATAGTATGCATTACTCTTTTCTGGCCCTTTCTTAGCTTTGTTTCCAGCTAAAAATTTGCGTTCCAAAAGTTCAGGCAACTTGAAAAACATGTCCAAAAGTTGATCTTTTTGGGCCATTTTACAATGCCATGAATGGTGTCGAAAAGGGGGGCGAAGGCACTTGACTGCATTTTTTCCTCTTATGCAACGCCAATTTCCGAGGCGAGTTTATACACTTTTATATATGTATGTATATATATTTTTTGCTCTGCTCCCTTATCAGCAAGCACAACAAAAATTGTATTTGTTGTTGTTTCTGTCTGTCAGCTTCAGCTGCGAATTTTTTCGTACACTTTTTTTAGTGCAATTTTTGTCAACAATTTGTACCCCTTAACTTGCATAGTTTTGTGAACGGGAAGGGGGCGTTGTTGCTTGAGTTTCCACAACAAAAAGTTTGCAATGTGTTATGTCTTAGGTATACATATAATGCGATCGTGTTTATATATATGTAAAAACTTGATGAGAACATTTTTTTTTTTTGCCTGATTATGCAGTTATTTTTCTTGTAGATACAATTGCACATTGTCTTTAGAGTCTTTTGTTTGTTGAATTTAAGGCGGAACCTGTTACTTTTATTTGAAACATTTTTTAAAAATATAAAAAGCATAATGTAGGTTAAAGAATGTTATAAATATTATAAATTTGCATTAAAATTTACATTCACAATAAGTGATTCATGGGTTCAGAATTTAGAGATGGGTTTATCTTACAGAAAAACCCCTTTCTGTTAGCAATTAGCTCTAATAACCTTTTAGTCTTTAGGGATTTTGGGTATTAAAAGGAGAAGCTGTGCCTGCAAATAATATTGCTCATACGCAGTGTTGCCCATTACATTCATTGAACATTTATATCAATTAATCTTTACGCAGAATAATATGTATTATATTTCAGCAAACATTAATTGTTTTTAGCCAAAAATAAACAAAAACCATAAGTCATGCTATTGTTATTAAAGTTCTATAATCATTTTTCTATGTAGCCGGTCCACCCTACTACCCAAGTATCAGTATATTTGTGGCATATCATCGGGTTGATTGTTTTATTGTTTGGGTTTCTTTTCACGCTTGATTTTATTTTATACTTGCCTTGGCGCCTTGTATCTGTATCTGTATCTGAGACGGTGTACTGTGAGTGTGTCAGTGGCAGTGCCAGTGCTTGATATCCATCAGATACTCGTGCTGGAGTCGAGCTGGGCCGTGTGTGTGTGTGTGTATGGTGTAATCATAAACCATCTCTGTGCATAGGTAGGCAAATCCAAACCCAAATCGGACCAGACAGCTGCAGCACAAGTCGACTCCATACCATTCCATTGTTGACTTTACCTTTGAAAACATTTTCACATTTTCGATTATATTACAAATTCAGCGATTTTTCTTCTCGTTTTATTTTTTCTTCCCATTGTCGGCGGCAGAGCTTTATATGGCAAAAGGCTTGTCGTCAACGTCGTCGTCGTCGCTGTCTTTGTTTATTTATTTCTGCGGATTGTTTAGCTCTATTTGCTTTTGGGCTTTTAAGAAGAAACTGGAGGAAGGGGGGGCAGGCGCGGGCTGGGCTGTCGGCGAGTATCTGATGAGTGAGAGTGCGACTGCACTCTGAGTGATTCACAAACACTCGGTTTTCTTTGTATTAATTGCGGCAATCATCTCGCTTCTTTGATAACTTTCGGGTGAAATTGAAATCCACTTAAAAATCATAAAAAGTCAAAAATCAACTTCCTCGTATGACTACCAGATCTGCCAAGATTTTCTTTTTATTTAATTTAAATTTATATTTTTCTGTTAGCCCCGCCTAATCGATTTCTCCATGCACAATTTCTCTCTTTTCCACAAGTCAGGCTCCATTAGTGCATGTCATTAATTTGCATAAAATCTGCAGCACAGTTAGAATCTGGCGATGCCGATGATGATGATGATGCGATGATGGCCAAGACATTCTCCAACTCCACCTCCCGCTCCTGGGTATTCCATATAGTTTTTAATAACATTTTGATAGAATCTAGCCATGGTGTAACGCCTCGTCTAACTAATCAATAAGCGGAAAGAAAATGACAGGTTTTTCTTCTGCTATATGAATTTATGTGATGAATACCCTATAGAGAGCGGAGGGTTATATGTTTTATCACTAAAATTAAAATTTTTTAATTACTGTAACTAGATATTGTAGGTTAATTGTAGACTTTTAGGGAATTATATAAATTAAACATCAAAAAGAATTGTTATGTCAACTTTTGAGGAATTTTCTTTTACTTTAGTATAGAAATTTTAACTAAATTCTCATTCAAACCTTTTATTATATGTTTTTACACTTTTATTTCTAATAAATTTAACACCATTTTTATTTTAACTAGTAAAATGGGAGTGTTTGTTGACTAATAAATACATAAATTCCAAATTTCTTAGTTGTAAAACCATAGGCCTCAAATTTTATTACCAACTCAGCTTGAAGATACTAAAAAACCCAAGCTAACAAAATTGACATCCATAAAAGCTCTCTAAAAATATAGCCATCAACTTGCAGCTGTTACAGATATAGATTTGAGAAGGATAAAGTTTCGTGGGTTTGAGAATTTCAAACTAGTAACCAAATTGTAATCACTCGCTTAAAGAGAACATCGAATAGCCCTAGGGGCAACATTATTCTATACCAGAGAGAAGCATAGTCATCGTTGGCCTGTCCATCGTCGTCGTCGTTGCCGGCTGACTATCGTCGTCACTTAAATCGTTATCATCTCTCGTTAAGCATTTTGATTTATGGATGGAACAGCCAGCAGCAGCAGCATCGCCAGCCTGTGCTTGTTGGCTGCTGCTCCTGCTCACTCAATTAAAACTGTATTAAATGTAAAATGACTTTAAAAGCGGCTTAGGAGACACGACAGCAGCCGCCACGAAAGATGAGATGCTGGTTGGTTAGCAGTCTCCGCTAACCAAGAACCGGTCGGTCAGGACAACTCAATCTTGGCCGGAAGAAGCGAGGCGGCAGCCAGAGAGAAAATATATAAAAACAATTTGTGAGTTTTGATTAAAGTGGCAAGTGGCTAATTGAAACTAGTTGGGTTGGGCCAAAACACTCGGACTAAGACGTGACTGGAAAGCTTAAGGGATTTAATTGGAGCTATTAAATCTCTTCAAGAGAATTTGCGGCTTACTGGGAAATTGAAGAAGCTTAAAATTTGAATATATATTAACCTGCTTTTAGTTTATCAGGGGAAAAAAGAAAGTCTTCTTAATATAAATCCTCAATTAGTAATTGAATTCTTCTTATCTTCCACAAAGATTGAGTCATTCTTAAAATAAGACTTAAAATCTACTTGGAAAAAGTAAATATTTATACTACTTTTTAGATTCAAATGTGTACCCTGCCTTGGTGAAATTATACTACATACGTCTATATATATTTCTGGACTTTTTATAGTTCTTCCTTTCAGTATCTACATTCTTTTTTTTAGTTGCCCCTTCCTTCCAGGCCTTGAATTAGTCACCTTCTTTGCACTCTTGAATAGATATTTGTGGCATGTTTACCTTAACTACTTGACACTCTGATTGAGCAGACACATTACCCCACTTGAGGTTGATGCTCTGCTCTACTCAGCTCCGGTTCCTCTCCAGACAAAGTTCTCTGCCCTCCACTCTGGGCGGCTCCTGGGCTCTATTGTTTGATTTCATTGGAGTCGATGTCGATGTCGATGATGATGATGCTGAGGCTGAGGCTGTTGTTGAGGTTGTTGTGGCAGGCAGGCGGCTTTTGTTTACTTAATCACTTTTTATGCGTCGCAGTTTGTTGACGCCTCACGGGGGCAGGGACTTGTATATAATATATGGGAATATATAGAGTATATATATATAGCGTTGCACTAGTCATTGCCATCGTCTTGTTGTCGTCAAGTGCATAATGAAGGCTGCTGAAGCTTGAAGAGCATTAAACAGACCCAATGTCGCAATGAACCGAGTTCTGGAAATGTAAAGTCTGCGTTTGATCTTGGTCAGTTCTCAAAATAAACTTAAATATTAAAAGAATGTCTATATATTTAAGGAAATATTGTATATTTATTTAAAGTGATAAGCAAAAGCTTGATAATGAAAACAGGGACTTTTAAGTGTTTTTACAAAGTAAAATAAAAATATAATATAAATTTCTTTAAAAATATTACAGGGCCGTCACACGAAGACTGGTCAATTGGCTGCCATAAAGGTGATGGATGTTACCGAGGACGAGGAGGAGGAGATCAAGTTAGAGATAAATGTGCTAAAGAAATACTCGAATCACCGCAACATTGCCACCTACTATGGCGCCTTCATCAAGAAGTCACCGCCTGGTAAGGATGACCAGCTGTGGCTGGTGATGGAGTACTGCGGTGCTGGATCCGTCACAGACTTGGTCAAGTCCACCAAGGGCCAGAGTTTGAAAGAGGAATGGATTGCCTACATTTGCCGCGAAATCCTGCGTGGCCTGAGTTACCTGCACTCCAACAAGGTCATCCATCGTGACATCAAGGGCCAGAATGTGCTACTCACGGACAATGCGGAGGTCAAGCTGGTGGATTTCGGTGTCTCTGCACAGTTGGATCGCACGATAGGCAGGCGCAACACATTCATCGGTGAGTGTTCATTACGATGAGTCACCTGTCCTACCTGCTAAACTGGCTTTCGTTTTCTCTCGTAGGTACTCCCTACTGGATGGCCCCCGAGGTCATTGCCTGCGACGAGAATCCCGATGCCACGTACGACAACCGATCCGATCTGTGGTCCCTGGGCATCACTGCCCTGGAAATGGCTGAGTCACAGCCCCCGCTCTGCGATCTGCATCCAATGCGGGCCCTCTTCCTGATTCCGCGCAATTCGCCGCCGCGACTTAAATCGAAGAAGTGGACCAAGAAGTTCCAAAGCTTCATTGACACGGTGCTAGGTGAGTCATTTGGAACTGGTTACTGGTGTGGGGTCAGAATTAATTGGAAAACTGCTGCAGTTCCAGCAAGCTGCTTATCGAAAGCCAAATTTTCTCAGAATTTTTTATACGGAAGAAAGAAACCATATCGGGGTATAGCTTGATTGGGAAATCGTTTATAATATACATTACTTTTGCTTTGAAAAAACCTGGAAAACCCCACAGAAAATCTTTTACTAATCCCGGTTTTCTCAAAATACAGTGAAGGACTATCACCAGCGGCCTTATACCGAGAACCTGCTGAAGCATGCCTTCATTAAGGACCAGCCCACAGATCGCCAGGTGCGCATCCAGCTGAAGGATCACATCGATCGCTGCAAGAAGCGCAAGCAGGAGAAGGAACGCGAGGATTATCGCTACTCGGGCTCCGACAACGATGATGACGAACCGCAGCTGGCCGGCGAGCACAGCTCCATTGTCCAGGCACCGGGCGGTGATACGCTGCGTAGGAACTTCCAGCAGATCCAGGAGGGTCGCCTGGCCGCCGAACAGCAGCAGCAGCAGCATCACCTGATGGCCCAGGCTCAGGCTCAGGCGGCAGCCGCACATGCCGCTGCCCAGGCCCAGGCCCAGCTACAACAGCAGCAGCAACAGGCCGCAGCAGCAGCGGCGGCGGCAGCCCATGCAGCGCAGCAGGCACAGGCCGCCCAGCAGCAGCAGCAGGCGCAGGCCCAGCAGCCACAGGCCAATCGCCAGCAGAAACCGCCATCGGTGAGGAAAGCCTAAAACCTAAAAAATTAACATATTAAATTAGTTATATATTTTCTTACAGCGCCAGCCGATCGAGGAACTGGGTCCGCCGGCACGCCCGCCACAGCGCCTGATCGTGGTGCCGGATCCACCGCACGCCAATCGGCCATTGCCACCGACCCCCAAGTGCGGGGAGCCGGCGGGACAGACGCCGCAGCAGCTGCAGCGCAACTCGCAGAATAACTTCAAGCCATCGGTGCGTATCGGGCGAAGATTAGCGGCAAGAAGAGGGCAGGGCTGAAGAAAAAAAAAAAGTGAAGAATTCTGTGAGGCCAGGCGATAAGGCAATCGGGAAATCCGATCTCATGGGGAGGTCTTTGGAGCAATGACTTTTCGAGTTGAATCTATACAAGAAGGATGCTCATAACCCAAGCCCCGTATACCACCCGTATATACATATGTATTGTAGCCCCCGTCAAAAATGTAGTTAGATTTTTATGTTGCCCTGTGAAGCCATGTAAATGTTGAATACCATTCTTATCTTATCCTAATTTATATATCTCTTTTTATTTATTTTCATGTTATGTGCGCCTACATAATCTATAAATATATATATTTATATACCATGTATATGCATTGATAAACCTGTATACTATATATTATATATATATATAACTCTCGTAACTCTCGATTTATGATTTGACTCATGTGTACATCATCCTGTTGCGCCGTTAATCCAACGTATAATTTCCGAACGACACTTGAACAACACACTTAAAATTGAACACACAACAATCATGACTACAACAATAACAACAACAACAAACAACAACAGTTACCACCAAGGAGACCTGAGGTATGTCCTACGATTTTCAGTTTCGAAGCCTGTTTGCATCTATTTCTCTTTTATGTTTACTTGCTTGAGTTTTTATCCTATAAAGTTTGCATACATTCAAAGCATGAAGTGCGTTGCAGGACTAGAAAATATAAGGATTACATTTTTAAAAACCTTAAAAAATATTTAAATAAGAATACAAATATATAATAAATTCAATTTCATTGAAATAAAAATATATAAATAATATATTTAATAATAATTATATTTTAAAGTCCTGCCACGCACTCCACATCAATTGTTTTCCATGTGTATAACACCCTTTAAAATCCTCCCCCGAAAAACCCTCTTTTGGAACTTAGTCAAAATTGAACTAATGGAGGTACACAGAAACCCCTCGTATAACTCTAAAACCCCAAAAAATCCACACACCCTATGCACGTGCCACACTTCTAAACTAAAATTTCCACAGCTTAAATTTATGGAGAAAACCCATTTGACTAACCCCCAAAAAAAACGTAGATTGATATCTTCTGCTATATTTATGTGGAGCATTTGATTGATGCGTTTCTAATGCCGTTTCCAACCAACAAAAGTAACGAGCCGCAAGGAAAATATTGTTCAAACTAACGTACGAGTAGATAAGAACTAACCACCGAAGCTTTTTAACCGAAATAACGTTTCTCTGTGTAACGCTGATCTCTCTTTGGATTCCAAGCTCCTCAAACACTTTGTTCGCCTGGCGTTTCTAAACGTTTTTTATTATCTATAAGGAAAGAAAACCAATCTAATGCTCTCTTACTTCTCGTTCCCTCCCAATACCAATCGAAACCCGATCAACAAATATAAAAAAACTACCGTGGTATAATGTGCAAAAAACTACACCAACACACACAATACAACACCAACACACACACAAAATCCTCCTTTGCCCCTGAAAAAAAAAAACAAACGCAAAACGAAAACAAATGTATTGTAAAAACTTTAGGATCATTTGGATGTGTTAGCAGCACAATTAAATGAATTGGGCGTGGTCTCCTCCCAACAGCCGCAGCCACAGACACCCGGGATCCAGGGATCCCAGCAGCAACAGGCGCAACCAGAGGCGCCGCCTAGGAATAATCGCCAGTCGAGCGGCCTGTCTTCCAGTGGATCCGCATCCGGCGGTTCCTCCTCAAAGCCAGCCGCTGCTTTGCCCCAGCAGGGTAACAATCATCTGGGTCAGCCAGTGAATCCGCTGGATCCGCTGGACAGCAGCGATTCGGATAGTGAGCCGGATGAGCCCAACGATAGGGCCAGGAACGATGGCACACTATTGGCCAGCGATCCGCCCAAGCCGCTGTAAGTACGAGCACAAAGAAGGGGCGTGGCAGCTTGCAAAGGCAAAAAAAATTGTACAAATCAAAGATGCAACGTAGCAACAGTTCACTTTAAAAGGGGACCGTAAATACAAATATTTTTTTAATGTAATTATTTATTTTGAGTAATGAACTTCCTTAAATTTAAAAAATATATTTGAAAACAGGCCGAAATGGGCCTTAAAAATAAAATTGGTTCATTGAATCTATTTTATTAAAGAAATTCTTTCAACTCTTTAAAGAAAAATCTGTAAATTCTCTTATTTAAAATTATAAAAAATATTTTTAAGCCAGATTTTGTGTTAAATTTCACTTAAAATTAATTATAATCAAATTAAAATCACAATTTACGGTCTCCTGATTAGAAAAAACACAATCATCTATCTCTCTCTGAATACTAACCCGACTTCACAACATTCTTGTCTCTCACCCATTTAAACACTCCATTGATTGCCCACCCCACCTCCTCCCACACCTGATACAACTTAAATCCACTCCCATTTCATTTCCATTGTCACCCAAAAACAACGATTTGCCGCCCCTTTTTTCGTTTTCGATTTGTGTTTTTTTGTGCTTTTTTTTTGGTTTTTCGTTATGTTCAGACCCGAATTTTCATATAGGCCTGGCTTGGGACCGGTTTCCGAGGACGCCAATACGACGCCGTTGAGCCACGGCAGCGGCGGACCGCCTAACCGCCCACTGCCCCCCACGCCGGATGACGATGACCAGGCCGGAGATCGCACATTGATCATGAAGCGCGTAAGTAGCTCTCTCCCGAGATATCCTCCCACTTTCAAAATCAACTTCTTTATCGTCACATAAATGCGTATGAATCTTTCTTAAGTTTAGTTCAAACTCAGACTAAGCTCTGTTTTAGTTTTTTATTTTGATTTTCAACTGATGAGATGCAAATAATAATCAGAGGGCTAGGCAGCTGATTTTAAGGAATCTGTGACAATTGTACAAAAATTGTAAACTAGCTTTTGTAGGGTTAAAGGTCTGCCAACCCCAAAAAATAATTTATTAAAATAAAAACTAAGGAATAAACCTTAATTAAAACGCGTAATATTGAATAAGTTAAACCTGGTTGTGGTTCTCTTTAGCAAAGAAAAACATTAAATGCGTTAAAAAATATATATAATTTGATTTCCTTACTAAATTTATTTGAACTTGAATTAATCTTGATTTGATATATTGATTATATTTTAATTTAATAGTTACTTAATGGCGTAAGCAGTGTGAAATCTTTTTCGTGAATTTTACTATCTCTTGTGTAAATTTCTTTTCCAAATTTGATTTTTCATCTTGACTTGATTTTGTATAAACTTTTTGTGTATATTTTTGATTTGAGCCATGTGTGATGTTGCATCTATGTATGAATATATAAATGCACTGATGCATAGAATGTGTTGACACGATCGAAACATTGTACATACATGACTATATATATATGCACTATATGCACAAACACCCCATATATAGTATAATATATATATTTATACAAGCGGAACGAAGAAGCAGAAGCAGAATTCATGAAAAACTTTCCATGCTGCGGTGGGTTTTTTTGTGGCAGAAGAATCCCCCAACTACTCTCTTTAATCGCTGGTCAACAAAAATTTGAGTTATTATCAATGCCACAAGACGAAGGGTAATATGAAGGTTGTAAAGGTAGAATATTCTCATTGATTGTTTACCCAAAGGTGGAAAGATTTTATTGTTTTAGTTTTTTAAAGAATTGTTAAAAAAAAATATTCTTAAAGTTAAATTTAACATGAACATTGTTAAAAACATTACAAATAATTAAAAATATATTGTATTTTTGCAAAGATATTTAAAATTATTCATTTAAATTTGTTGAAATATTAAAAAAAAAATAAATCACAAATCTTAACGTCAACATTTAACAGGAACTTTAACAAAACACGAAAATTTCAATTTAGATATGCTATATTATGTTAAGAAAAATTATACAATATTATAAGCTTAGATTTCAGTTGTTATCTAAGATCTCGTGTAGGTTTTTTACATTTTATATTTAAAGTTCACGTTAAAAGTTAAAAAGTAACTTAGGCTTGGCTTTTTATACCCTAAAAAGTTTATATTCGAACAAGAACGCAATGGAAAGACAGTTTGAAAGTTAAGCAATCTATCAGAAAATTGCCTGCATAATCTCTAAGATTTTGTCTTTGTGGCTTTGGTGTGTTTCATCTAATTCTTTGTTGATTAGTGTATTTAGTATGCCTCTCTAAGTATGCAAAAATCCGATCAAAACTTAACACAATTCTTCTCTTGCTGCGTACTCACAAACAACAACAACTACAACTACAACAACAACTACTCCTCCCTGAAAACAATCAAACAAAAAAATCCCTGAAATCCTGAAAAATGAAACCAATCGAACACACAAATAGAAACTAGAGCAGAACAACATAAATCGCCTGCAAAAGTCCGCCTCGACTTCGCATGCCAATGTAACGCCGCCATCATCACGTATCCGCGGTGACCAGGACTCCCGCCTGCTGAGGGATTGGGACTTTGATCGCTTCTTCCCCAAGAATGCCAATGGACCGCGAGGTAACAGCAATCGAGGAAGCGAAAACAGTAGCCCCACGACAACGGCTAGCCTGAGCAGGAGCTCGCAGCTAAGCACACTCAAAGTGGACACGAAGCTGCAGCGGGCCAGTGTGGCGGAGCCCATAACGAGACCAGTGCCACGTGGCTATCAGCCGCTGAAGGGCGCCGAACCGAGTGCCAGCCAAAGTATTGCCAAAGATCAGGGACCAAGTCCCAGTTCCAGTTCCATACAAGCGCACAAGCGCCAGGATTCCGACTCCAAGCTGCCGATGAACTTTGTGCGGGGCTTTCGGCGTGAGAACTCGGATTTCTTTCCGCTCACCAAGCGCCACTCGGCGGTGCTGAGTGGTGGCGTAGGCACCAGCTCCGGATCAGGAACGGGAACGGGTTCGGGATCCACCTCCAACCAGCAGCAGCAACAGCCAGCTAGAGCCAGTGCCATGTACCAAAGGAACAGCATTTATAACAGCAGTCTCACAAGCAACAGCACCAACAAGAACCAAAAGGAGAATGCCTCCACGCCAGCAGCGTCGACGGCATCTGTCACGGCGACAGCCAAGGGAGCTGGTCCCAAGCCTTCCAAATCCTTGGCCAGCTTCAACTTCCTGCGACCGCGTCGCGAAAAGACTGAATCCGTCATTGTGCTGCAGAATGCTGCAATTCGTGCCCAGCGGCAGCAGCAGCAGCAGCAACAACAGCAGCAACAGGCGCAGCAGCTACTGCAGCAGCAACAGCAGCAGGTAAACGTTCTCAGCTCGCACAAAACAACAACAACGACAAATACAACCGAGAGAGGCAAACATTTTATTCCAAAAATGCTGCGAAAACATAAAACTCACAAAAGAAAAAATGTTATTCCATTTAAATGTGTTTTGTCTTGGCGCCAGAAACGTAAACCAAACCCAAACTACCTAAAAAAACAAGGCAAAAAATTGTTGAAATTTACCATTTGCATACGCACACCACACACACACCTCACACGCACACACACCAAGCACTGTTAATAAACATTAAACTAACGGCTCGTAAATAAAAATGCTAAAAAAAAAATGCAGCTGGAAATGTAACAAAAACAAATATCTAAGGGAAAACATACATAATCACTGTGTATTTAATTATTCTTTCATTGCTTGCGCATGTTTTTGGTTTCATTTTGGTTTATTACTAATTATTTATTTGCATTCCCATTTATTTATAATCAATCAGAGCCCAACGCCATCTCTTAGGAACTAAGCTAACCGCAACCTTAATTAAGTCAACGCTACGCTCGCTCTCTCTAAAATGCTTAAGAACTCTGTGATTAACAAAAAAAGACAATCTATTAATGCCTTCTAACTGGTAGAACATCTGTATATAATAATTCTATAATGTCGCCCGAAAAATAAAAGAAAACAAAGCAAAAGTATCGAATCGAATGCTAATGAGATCAAGTTTTAATACTCGTAGTAGTGCAGGTTGGAGCTATCCTACAAAATTCTTGTTTATATGGTGTCGAAGAAGATTTACGATTGGGAAGCAGCTCTCTCAGTGATCGATTAAGCAGTTATTTGGGTTTTAGTGCTATAATAAAAGTAGCTATTTTAATTATAAATAAAATTATATTTGGTTTCTGAAGAATGCTTGAAATACTAAATACTTTTTGTGGGAATATAAATTATTAAATGAATTTAAATTGGCAGAGAAATCATAAAAAAAAAAGAAAAATGAAAATCATCTGGGATTTTAAACCATATTTTTTAGGTGCTTAAAAGTATGCAATGAGAAATTTTAGATCTCTTTTATAGCACACTTTTAAACACCAATTTAAATGGATTTTAAATCCCCTTCTGGCATTTTTAAGTAAATAATTAAACTTTTATTAGCTTAGCTAGTTTTTATTAATTATAAACTAGAAAAAAGAAAAGCTATTTCTTTAGAATCTTTCTATGCCGCCTCGTATATAACCTTTGTAACACTGCTCTGTGTATCATCTCTGTATATAAAACTTTATATTTGCTTTCGCTCAAAATTGTTTTAAAGCTTTTACTCTGTACAAAAAAGACCAATTCGAAATTAAAAACAATTAGAAAAGTTTGCTGGTTTGGAAGAAAATAAATTAATAAATAAAAGAATTTATAAAAGAAAGTGTTTTTACAACTTGAGCTGACGTTTTGCCTGCTGAAGTTGCTGTGTTTGCTAATTATTTAGTTTAAGTTTAGTTTCTAGCTTTAAAACAATTTTGATATCTTAAAAAAGGACTAGCAGGATGACCTTTAAATGTGTTAGTCTGTAAGCTCAAGGATACACGCATACACACAATACACACCACTATTTGTATATGTATCTAAATGTATATCGAAATACGAAGAATCCACAAAGCTTAGTAGTGTCGGGATCATCATCCATATAGGCAACCAAAAACAACAACAACAACAACCTCAAAGTGTGTCTCATTGGCATTCATATTTATATTTTGTGCTGCTGCTACTTGAATCTTTATGAATCTTTATGTTCTCTCTTGTACGTTTCTTGAATCTCATTACGTTTGTTACTTTCCGTTTCTCCTCCATTCTATAACCCAATACTGTCTCTCTCTCCCACCTCTACTCGTTTCCTTATTAATTTCATAATAAATTTGGTTACAAAAAATAAAAAATAAAATAAATCTTCAATATTCTCATAATATCGTTCCTTTTGCTCCCAAACAGAATCGTGGAGGAGGCGGCGGCGGTAGCGGCGTAGGAGGTGGCGGCGTCAGCGGCAGCAGCGGTGTGGGAGCCGATGGCTTAGGCACTCCTGGAACCAGGACCAGCAGCGTCCTGCCCGATCTGCTCAGCCAGGCATCGCCGGCAACGCCACCGCGTCACGATAAATCATCCAGTGAGGAGGTGAGTGTGTAATAAATGCCATTTATCTGCTTTTAATCGATATTTTTCATTGTGTTTTCCGTTCGTAACCCCTTGTGTCCGTCCACTTTGAGTTTTATTTATTTATTGTTTCGTTTTAAATTTACTTTGTGATAATTATTCGTTGTACTCTTGTCTGTGTCTCTGTTTGAGTTGAAATCAGAAATCCATTGCCACAAGGCGAGTCATTCGCATTGTCTTCGTTAGGATTCATGGCTAAGACCTGAAGTTCTTCCGGGTCCATAAAAAATATATAATCATTATCAGTCATTTGGTTATCTTTATTGATTAAACAATCATAATATTACTAACCTGAGTAATAATTTCAAGTACTTCACAACGAAATCGATTGAGGAACCTTTTACCTTACATTATTTTATGATTTTCGTGATTTCTAACCCCAATTATAAATGTGACTAATAACTAAGAAGTAAACAAGAGTATCTCTGCAATAAGTATATGTATTTCTTTGACGTGGAGTGCAAAGTTCATTATGAAGAGTGTTAAACAATGAATTGGTCGAAAAAATATATAATTGCATGGAGCATGAAATGATGTAAAAAAAAAAAAATGAATTGAAAGAAAAACCAAAGTACCTCAGAACCAAAAAGTTTAAAACAAAAATTTCTTCTTCTATAATTGTGCTTTGTCTTTCCGCAACGTTTGAGCTGATGGCCACTACGATATATTCTAACCAAATTACAAAAATTACCAATCAAATACAATACAAACAAAACATTCCAAATAGTAAGTATGAATAAACAACAACCAACCAACAAAAAAGAACCCTTCAACAAAAAACGCTCCTAATTTTGTATAATTTTCTGTCTTGTATAAAAACCAACCGAAAAAATTCCAACAACTACCCCACAAAAAAAATCAAGAAAATACTTTTGTGTATAGTTTTTAATTTTCTCATACACTCTCTCCCACTCTCATCACATTTTGTATGTGTTTTTTTTTTAAGTTAAGGGATAAGGAATTTGTCCTGTGATCACTATTTCCTCATTCCACCTTATGTTATACCAGCACTAGGAATGTCTTTCAGTTTATATTTCTCTGTAAAATCTTCAATATCAATTTACCATTTTATATATTTTTTTCCCAAGGATTATGTACCATCCGATCCACTGTCTTCTGCGTCGTATAGCAGTCAATATAATTTCCACTTTAACTAACATATTTCGCCTACAGTGGTTACAGTTCCATTTTCATACACACACATACAACAAACACACGAAAAAAATATTTTAAATGATTTTTTTTTACACAAAACGCTAGTCAACTTGATATTTTAGAAAGCTTAACCTTAATTTAGAGCTAACAAAAACATTTTCCGAGTTGACTAGTGTAAATTATAATGTATTTTCTATATAATTAAAATCATTGGCCTCCAAGGGAAAGACTAATCACATGTCAATTTTATTTATTTATTTTTTCTAACACATTTTTAACATTTTTCACCCACTGTTAACCAATCAATGAATGAGTTTTGGCTACACACTTTAGATTATTACTGTTAGTTTAAGCATTTTGCACATAACATACACGCACACACTACACTCTGGTATAATGCCCTCACTATGCACTACACTCACCCAAAAACCCAGCATGTGTAAATTATTTAATTTATTTAGTTTTTAGTTGAAAATCTCAAAACTAATTGACATTTTTTCTTGCACTTTTTCTATTTTTCTTTTCTCTCTATATATTTTAAATAAAAACGAAAACCCCACAAAAAAAACAACCAAACAAATCAAATAATAAAACGATTAATCGAAATAATCGAACAAAAATCTATAACAGTATCAGGCGGCCATTAGCTCATCCGTGCATTCCACGCCATCGAAATCGTTTATCGCTAGCAGCGGAAGCGGCAGCGGCAGCGTCGGCGCTCTAGGCGGTCTCGGCTTGGGGGGCGGTACCGTTATTGGGGGTGTGATTATTAGCAGCAATAATCACTCGCCACAATCGACGATATCGCTCGCCTCGTCCTCGTCGAATTCGCGCCAGAATTCGCCAAAGAATTCGATCAGCAAGACGCGCTCCTCCAGCAGTATTACTAATCTCTTGCACAAATCTGCTTCTTCCTCCTCCGCGAACCTACACCACCTGACGCCCTGCTCCTCAACGTCCTCGGCCTCGCTCTCGATCTCCAACTCTAATGCCAATGCCAACAATACACCGCTGCCCCCGCACGCGTACGCTCTGCAACAGAAGCAGCGAAGCTTCCTGACCTTCGGCTTCGGTGCCGGCGGTTCCGGTCCATCGCGTCGCGAGTCTCATGTCAATGTCAATGTGACGCCCACTTCGCATGAGGCGGCCAACGATACGCCCGAGATCCGTAAGTATAAGAAGCGTTTCAACTCGGAGATTCTGTGTGCGGCGCTGTGGGGCGTTAATCTGCTGATTGGAACGGAGAATGGTTTAATGTTGCTGGATCGATCTGGTCAGGGCAAGGTAAGATTTAAATATATATAGATACGATATCGAGGTTTGGTTTTCTAATCGATATTTTAACGCTTATGAGATAAATAGTTTTTTTTTAATAAATCAAGAAACATTTTTCGATAATATCGATATTTTAACCTAAAATGTAAAGCTGGAAATAAATCGATTTTCAGTTAATCGATTTTTTCGGAAAAAATTATAAAAATAAATCGATTATATACGAATAAAATCGAAAATTCAATTAATTATAATTATATATTTATTTTCTTCATAGATTTATATCTTATATCAATATTTGTATTTAAATAATATTTAAAAATTGAATTTTTGTTGTTTGGAAATATGAAATTATAAAATAAAATGCGTTAGTTTTCGATATTTCAAATTTCGATATATCAAAATCCAATATTTTCGATATCATACGATATACAAATATTTTAAAGAAAAATACTAGTAATACCTTCTTTCCTACCAACAGGTCTATCAGCTCATTTCACGACGTCGTTTCCAGCAAATGGAGGTGCTAGAGGGCCAGAATATATTGGTCACCATATCCGGAAAGAAAAATCGCGTGCGCGTCTACTACTTGTCCTGGCTCAAGTCGAAGATCTTGCGAACCGATGGCCTGTCCGACGTGAGTTCTTTGGAACATAACTTAAATTCATGCAGCTCTTAATTTAAAATTTATATTCCAATGCAGCAAGTGGAACGTCGCAATGGTTGGATTAACGTTGGTGATCTCCAAGGTGCTGTACATTTTAAGATTGTCAAATACGAGAGGATTAAGTTCCTAGTGATTGCATTAAAAGACTCGATTGAAATTTATGCATGGGCACCCAAACCATATCACAAATTTATGGCATTTAAGGTGAGATTTAAATAATTTTAAATAATCAGGTTTAATGAATAATATTATTTATTTTTAAAGAATTTTGGTGAATTGGAACATCGCCCGCTTTTGGTCGATCTAACAATTGAGGATCAATCGAGACTGAAAGTGATCTATGGCTCCGCCGAGGGTTTCCATGCAGTTGATTTAGATTCAGCTGAAGTATACGATATCTATCTTCCCAAGCATGTAAGTTTTGTGAATTAGAAATTAAAATTTAAATTTTATAAATTATTATTTGTTTATGCAGACTCAGGGTGCAATCATTCCGCACTGTATTGTGGCGCTTCCAAACTCAAATGGCATGCAACTGCTGCTCTGCTATGACAATGAAGGCGTCTATGTCAACACTGTGGGTCGTGTCTCCAAGAATATTGTGCTGCAGGCAAGTTATTGAGGGGTTTTTTGGATTGTTCCTGTATTTAATAATTATTGTTTAATTTTCAGTGGGGCGAAATGCCCACCTCAGTGGCCTATATTGGCACGGGACAAATTATGGGTTGGGGCAATAAAGCAATAGAGGTGAGTGTTGCTCAATAATAAATTCTATTTAATTTATTAATAAATTTATTCATTTTTATTCAGATACGTTCCGTTGAAAGCGGCCATTTGGATGGTGTGTTTATGCACAAGAAGGCGCAGCGCTTGAAATTCCTTTGCGAGCGCAACGACAAAGTATTCTTCAGCAGTGCCAAAGGTGCTTCATCGTGTCAAATCTACTTTATGACGCTCAACAAGCCGGGCATGGCCAACTGGTAATCGATGATCTTGGCAGCCGCCTTTTGCTCAAACCAGCAGGCAGGCAAAACCATAAACATTTTCTTCTTATTTTACAAAACACAAAAAAGAAAGTATCGAAAAAAGCGAAAAAACACACACAACATAACGAAGAGATAATTAGCTGATTTAAGTGAAGAAGAGTGCTTATGAAATTCACCACGACAAACAACGTTTCAATTAGTAAATGTGCTAAGAGAGCTCAGAAGGGAATCGACGAGCCTATATATATATATATTATATAAATATATATAAAATAATCTACTTAACATTTAGAGAGACGAACGAACACACACACATTGCAAAAGCTCACTCGCCGAGGTTTTTCGTGAGATCTGAAACCGCAGAAAAGCAATTTATCCCTTTATCCCTTTCGGTGTATGTATATTGACGTTACATAAAAATGATCCCAGATTCATTTCGAAATGTCGTCTCAAGTATGTTGTTTTTCCGATGATTATGATTTCGCTTACAAGTTAAACTTAAGTTGAAAACAAGCAAGAACATACGAACGAGTATATGTATTGAGGAGAACGTCGCATATATATATAAAGAAATATATAAATATAGTAATAATAACAATTTGCAGTTAGTTTTTGTTCTTGATATTATCAACATAGAATTTATTTGTGCGTTTTTCTGATAATGATCACACATGTGTTAGTGCAGAGCCAGAAAATAGCGCTCATTTTATGGAGAAGAAGGAAACAGGAGTAGAAGGAGAAGGAGAAGCGAAGCAAACAAAACCCACATAAACAAAACAAAACAAAAAAACGCCATTGTAAAAACTAAGTGATACAAAAAACAAAAGTAAACAATTAAATAATTGATTAAATGTAAAATAAAAGCCGAACAAGCAACACAAAACGGAAGCAAAACGGAAAGCAAGCTTGCAACAATTAATGGAAATAAATGAGCGCGCACCGCATGACGTTTATAGAGGAGATATACTCCTTGATAACCACAAATTGGAGGGAATTAATTACAAAAAGAAAACAAAAACAAGAAAACAAAGAGGATGATAACCTAGTTAAGCTGCATTTTTTACTGAACTTTTATACAGAGCAAAAAAATAAGAGAATGAATATTGATGGATGAACGATGAATTGATGAGGGAAGAGTAAACCAAAATTCTATAAAATCGTAGCATGTTACAATTTGATAAACATTAACGAACCGAACCATTCATCTCCGCTTGTTGTGCATTTCCCCTGTGTTTCTTACAAGCTTTTATCGATATCAAAAGTGGTCACGTTGCAATATTTATACATATATCTCTATATCGAACCATTTAAAACAAAAAAAACTGGAACACTAATTCTGCCTTATTTTGTGTCGTCCCCAAGTACTCCTCCTCTTCCAAACACACACACACAACACCTCCTCCCTCCCTCCACACACACAAAAAAAAGTCTCATTAAGGAAAGAAAAGTATGTTTAAAATATTGTTTGTTTTTGTGTTATATAAAATTATTGTATGCCCCATACCCCGTATTTAATAATGTTCATCGAAGCAAAATGGTAAACAAAAGTGCACTAAAATGCAAATCTAAAACAAGAAAAAAAAAGAAGAGTAAAAGAATTAGTAATAAATGCTTACTTTATTTCTAAAATAAAACAAGTAAAATGATACAGAAATGAATGTAAATCTAATTATTATATATATATAATCTCAAAATTAAAAAAACAAAACAAAAAAATATATGGAATTTGTGGTTTTTACTTGGGGGAAGTGTGGAATTATTACTAAAAGGTTTTTCACTGATTCGGTGAATTTTTAAACTTGTTTTTTTGTCTTTTGTAAATCAGTGATAAGGTTATTAGCAAAATGTACAAAAGCAGGCTTAGACACCAAGATAAGAACTGAACTTACTGTATACATACATATAGTAGGAATACTATAATTCCAAAACAAATTACAAAATCAACACAAAAATTGCTGAAATCGCCAAAGTAAATGCATCCAGAGCCCCTATAAGTCAGAACCACTGCTTGTATTAATTTCAATTGATGATTAATATTCAACTTGTGAGCATCAGCGTCAAGATGAATCCAGCAATATACCTCAAGTAATCCACAAATTTATTAAAATTAAATTTTATATAATTTATATGATAATTTTCCTGCAGCCTCCTCTTGTTCGTCAGCTTTGGCTGGACAGCCAGTGTGCAAAGTGACCTGGAATTTTCTGCTGAATTGACACGATTAAAAAATATCTACGAAGATGATTCGGTTACTCGGTCTATTAAGTTCAGGACTATCCCCGATCTTATGGATTTCTACGAAAAGTACTCAGATCGACTCAGAATGACACCCAGGGGACGAGTGAGAGCCGATGATGCGTTAAAGGTATACAAGGAGGAAAAGGCTAAGCAAATACACGTAGATGGTGTGGCTCTTCAGGGCCTCTGGACAGTACTCATTTTCGGAAAAATAGATACTATACTTAAAGTACTATACACGCAACCGGATCCAAATCTACATCAGAACCAAACTTTTATAACTAATAGCATAAATAAAAATAATTGAATAATATAACAAGTGATTGAAACAATGTTTATGTAATAGCTATGCTAAGATCTGCTAGTAAATAATGGGTTACAGATCCTAGAAGTTACCTAGGAGAATTTACTTTGAAGATATATTTTTCGAACTTCGCTGGAACCACAATATCCTAAAAATAATATTTTATAAATTTAAATCTTAATACTGTTATTTACAATTATTATAAGGAAAAAGGTTAAAAATAAAGCACATTAATTTCCAGATAAGAACTATGTTCACTATATTATAGTAATTATTTGGAATTACTAAAACAATTTTAAACAGGAAATAGAGATGCATATGAATTTAGTTACCATCTAGATAATTTTGCAAAAGGGAGTATGATGGAACGATTATTTTTAAATATATGTTATTAAAAAAAACTTGCAATTGGCATAAATAAGAGTTAATAAATATATGAAAAATATACAATATTTATGGCCTGGTTTAAATATTGTCCGATTTATTTTCCATAACTGTTGCCAGGTTGCTCTATATGGGATTTCATCATCTCGCTTTACAAGTATAAGTAAATAATTTTAAGTTCGATATAATATAATATATAATAATAAAGTAAATACTTTATTAAGCAGATCTAGCAAAAAAGTAAAATAATTGATTCCGATTAAAAATGATAAAGATATGCATACACATTGCATTTTTCTAATCAAAGCTTATCTTATCAATTCCCAGAAATATTTTTCAGATCTAGTTAATTATAAAATTATTTGGAAACACGATCCAGAGGCCCTATAAAAGGTTGCTTTCGTTGGGCTTAGCTTGTAGTTCGACATTCAACTTAGAATCGTCCTAAAGCTGAAGTTTAGCCACAAAATGAATCCCACACTTTATCTTAGGTAAGTTAAAAAATTCTTATAATGTAGTGTTGCATCCTTAAATCCCTGATAATTTCTCAACAGCTGCCTGGTGGTCCTGTTCGAGACCCTCGTGTGGACAGCCCGTGCCGAAGGGGATTTTGACTCTCAAAGGGCGCGTGTGATTGAAATCTATGGAAATCCGGCTACAGATCAAGCCACCAGGGAGAGGAATGTCGAGCTCCTCGCAAACTTTTTCGACAAGTACACCGATCAAATCTTGCTTCCACCTGAACTGCGAAACCGTGTTAATGATGCTGTGACCAAATATAAGGAGGAAAAAGCCAAGCAATCTTTGGTGGAAGGTACTCCAGCTCAAGGTGGTGTGCTTTTAACACTTCTAGCAGGATTACTTATACAAGTCGGGATCGAAGCTGCCTATCAAGGAATCAAAAAGGCAGTCTCTTAATTGCCTTTCAGCAAACATAATAATTTTGTTAATGACTGTGGTCGTAAATAATAATAATAATAAAATTATGAACATCCTTTAAACTATGGAGAATAATTACAATATTTTATAAATTGTTGCAGGTAAAATGTACAATTTTCTGAGAAATCTTATTAAGAAATTGAAGAAGTTAAAGATTTTCTATCTTAAATACTTAAATAATTAAAAAAAAAAATTTATTGTAGTTTTTTTTATCAAATTTTTGAATACAATAAATAAGACAATTTTTCTTTTTACCCGAAAACATGTTTAGTTTCAAAGGTCTTTACAAAACACCCTTGAATAAGCTTTATAGGAATTAACAACACTAAACAAAAATAGTTTTTTAATTAAAAAAAAACCTATTCGCACTAGATTTATTCCAAAAATTACTAAATATTTCGGAATATCACGCTTGGTTAATAGCTATGGAAATTCTGGGATCATGACCTCATCAAAGAAGGGAGTGTCCCTCTTTTGGTGAACTTCCCTTGAGAGAAGCTAAAGTAAAGAGATCTCTTAAGGGATTTATAGTAACAAGACAAATGTCACTGTGTTTTTTTTTTTTTTAATTTTTTAAAATTTTACATATCTGCAAAACTAAAGTTAGTTTGACTTTGTTAACAATTATATTTAAAACGCCATGGAATTTATACATTTTTTATAGGTTTTTTTTTTTTTTGAAAATTTTTAGGATAAATTATTGATAAAAAAAATTTTAAAACAAGACAAAATTAGCCGTTATTTGATTCGAAAAGCTTTCCTGAGTTAGTTTTTATTGTTTATAATTTTTCATCTCTATTTTTAAGTCTCACGGACCAGCGTTGCCACATCTATCGCGATAGTTTTGAACCAATCGATACATAGCCAAACTATCGGCATTATCGATAGCTCCATCGGTGTTTTGACAGCTCTACTGCCCTCTCTTTCTTTTCTTTTCCACCCGAAATTTGGTACGTTTCGCATCCGCTCGTGGAAAAAAATATTAATCGCGCAATTTAACTATGTTTATCGCATCATCCAAACAAAAAGATACAAAAAACGAGAAGGCCATGACTTGCGGAAGCGAATGCGCCGGATATTTCATGTCCCGATGCGATGAACGCCCGTCAAATAGCGACTTTTAACTATACAAATTTGGATATTAATTGTGTTTCAATTGTTTTGCAGCAATGGGTCGCGTTATTCGTGCACAGCGTAAGGGCGCTGGTTCCGTGTTCAAGGCGCACGTGAAGAAGCGCAAGGGAGCCGCCAAGCTGCGTTCCCTGGACTTCGCCGAGCGTTCTGGCTACATTCGCGGCGTTGTCAAGGTGAGTTGATGAAGCTGCTCCCCCCTCTACAGGTCGCGGGAAAACAATGGAATATAACCCGAAATAAACAATCTTGAGATCTTTGTAAATATCACTATAATTTATGTCATTTTATTCTAGGACATCGTCCACGATCCCGGCCGTGGCGCTCCTCTGGCCGTCGTCCACTTCCGCGATCCCTACCGCTACAAGATCCGCAAGGAGCTGTTCATCGCCCCCGAGGGCATGCACACCGGCCAGTTCGTCTACTGCGGTCGCAAGGCTACCCTGCAGATCGGAAATGTGATGCCTTTGAGCCAGATGCCCGAGGGTACCATTATCTGCAACCTGGAGGAGAAGACCGGCGATCGCGGCCGATTGGCCCGTACTGGTGGAAACTATGCCACCGTGATTGCCCACAATCCCGACACCAAGAAGACCCGTGTCAAGCTGCCCTCCGGCGCCAAGAAGGTTGTGCCCTCGGCCAACCGCGCCATGGTCGGCATTGTTGCCGGCGGCGGTCGTATCGACAAGCCCATCCTGAAGGCCGGTCGTGCCTACCACAAGTACAAGGTGAAGCGCAACAGCTGGCCTAAGGTGCGTGGTGTGGCCATGAACCCTGTGGAGCATCCCCACGGTGGTGGTAACCATCAACATATTGGTAAGGCGTCCACCGTCAAGCGAGGCACCTCTGCCGGTCGCAAGGTCGGTCTCATCGCTGCCCGTCGTACCGGTAGGATCCGTGGTGGCAAGGGCGACAGCAAGGACAAATAAGCACTGTTTGCGGCAGTCCGGCGTGCAGGAGGAGCAGGTTCCGCCTGAAATCAGGGAGCCGGTGGCGCAAGTAGTGGTGCTGTTGTGTGCAGCAGCGCTGCTAGAGATAATGCTATTCTACATGGAAAATCTGTATGTTGTCGGCATACACTTGACACGGCGGAATAAAACTTATTTGTAAAAAAATAAACATTGTATTTGTCTTGAATGTTAATAATAATGGTATTTAAAGGAGCTGGATTCGTATATCTATGCAAGCTATATCTTTAAGTTGTGAATTGGCGGAAGCTCTGTTTTGCTAGAAAGAGGTGAAACTAAGACAAAAGTCCCTTTAATGTATTCTGATTCTGGATCTTGGACTCTCAGTTTAATCTTCGGTGTCCCACCCTCCTATCCGCTTAAAAAAGTTAAGAATATTAATTTTTAACGGTTCTTTTAATTATTTATTAATCTATAAATAATGTGACTTAAAAAAATATTTTATAGATGTTAACCTATAAAAAACTAGCATTTGTACATTGGAAAAGGTGAATACTATAGAATTAATACCTTTACAGGGTATTATAATTTCAGTCAGAAGTGAAAAAAGGTGAAGTAGTCATTTCCGGCTCTATATATCATATATTTTCTTGATCGGTACAAAAGGCCAAGTCGAATTTTTAAAATTTTTCAATTAAAAAAAAAAAGGATTATCTAAAAAAAAAAACTATATTCGATTTTTATAGCATGATATATTCTTTGAATTAAATATTATAGCAAATATATTTGGTATAAACTTCAGTATATATTCATTTCCGCCGCACGGTCACGCTGATAGGCGTTTCCTTCGAGAACCGCCCACGGTCTCTCTAAACGTTGTTGGTGTGTGCGCGGAGTGAAACAAATCGAATTCCTATAATTTCTCGTCAAACCCTACACGATAATGGATCGCACTTTCTACGAGGGCTGGCTGATTAAGTCGCCGCCCACAAAGCGAATTTGGCGAGCAGTAAGTTGCAAAACAGTGAAAATCCCCCGAAAAAGCAGATAATATGCTGCGAGTGAAATCGGTTTTCTCCCTTTGAAGAGTGAAAGAGAGAATCGAGCTCGAATCGAATGGAGGAAATTCCTCCGAATGATCAGTGAAATGTGAAGACCGCAAGGGTTAACGGTAAACCAAAGGCCGGAAGAGATTTCCGCAATCTCGGCATAGTTAGCAGTGTTGTTGATTTTCCAAAGTCCATATCGTCGACTGAGTCACGAAGAAGACAAATAAACGGAACGATGGATAATGGCAGTGGCATTTTTTATACAATTACGCTGCGCCTGTATTGGTGGGTGCCTGTCCCGAGTGCGTGTGTGTGTGCGTTTGTTTGCCGTGGCTGTTTTTGTCATATAAAACTTAATTCATTTTTAAGCCGAGGAGGGGATCACGGCAGTTGATTGGAATGCAAACAAGCTAAAACCGCAGAGAAGCGAAGCGGATGGGAGCAGTGGCATCGATAAGTGCAAAATATGAATGAATTTACGATGGCTTCCTCCTCCCTCTCTCCTGCTCTGTGCTTCTCCCCTATCCACTCTGCTTCGTCGCCCGCGCGTGTGCATGTGTGTGTGTAAGGTACTTGCTTGCCCTGGTGTGCGTTGTTTATGTTTGCTTATGGCGTGGGAACGTGTTTTGGCGCTGGTCTAAATTTACGCTTAATTAATTTTCCGTTTAATGTTTACTTGAGGTAGCTGGTCCCTGCTCCCTGTTCACCGCCCGCTTCCCCCCACTCATTCTCCAGCCGCTCGTGTATTAAATTACCGCCAACTGTTGCGTTTAATCAAATTTATTTTCCCCGTATTCTCTTCTCTCTGTATTTTTGAGTAAAAGAAAGACTGCACAAAGAGAATGAGAATCCATGCTGCTGTGTGCATATGTGTGCATCAGGCACAAAAAAAAAATCAAAATAAAGCAACAACGGGAACCGAAAAACAATGACGCACTTGTCCTACCATCTTCTTGCTTTGTTTTTGTTCTTTTTTCTAGAGACGCGCTTGTGTCGTGTCACGAAGTATCTACGAGTTTCAGATACTTTTAATGATCATTTATGGAAATCCTTTTATTTATGTATTTCTTGCCTTGGTTTTTCGTAAAGTTTGTAATAAAAGTTAGACTGAAATGAGCAGCTTAGAATTTTAAATTAAATACGAAACATTATTTTATGTTCATAAAATTGTATTTAATCCAGTTGTCTCAATATTATTATCATTTAAATCAGTATCAAACGATATATTTTAAAAATTTAATTCAGAGAAGCAGCATTCTGAAGTTGGTTCTGATATGCTATCGCCTTTTGGATTATTGGGCTAAAAACATCTACAAGTATAAAAAATAGTGAACTTAAGAAACCAAATTGAGGTCAGAGATAGTTTCCTGAAAATTACCACTTTTTAATTGCATTTAAACTATATAACATGTAATGATTGCATTCTAAGAATTGACTTTATATTTATAATCTGGGTTAGAATCTTGAAAACAAACGATCTCCTGCATTCTTTTTCTGATTATATTATAGTGAAATAAGTTTGTTGCTTATTTATTATATATTATAAAAACATTCTATGAATAATAGTAATCCATTCAGATAGTTTATTTTATTTACGTGGTCAATATTTTGTAAGGCACTGTGTAAGCAAACCGTAATAATGATGCCTCAAGAAAATTATCTGCGTATTTCCATCACCTCGGGGTGCCAATTTATGGCTTGTGTGCGGCATTATGTTTATTGTTTATAATTCAATTAGCCGTGAAATTCTGCAGACGGGGAAAAAAATCCACCGGAGTTGCTAGTTGCTAGCTGGGACCCAAACCCATTGACCACTCCATTTCACTCAGCTGTTGGGCAATCAATTCTGACGGTAACAACGACGTGGGTGTAGATAGGTGTGCCAGTACACAGACACACACACGGGGTGTGTGTGGCCGGCGATTACCCAAGAAAATGTCAATGCAAAATATGATTCGCAGAACAGCAGCGACGTTGCAGTTGCTGCTTCATCACACGCTTACTCACCACTGGCGTTGGATTTTGATATAGTGTATATAGTATAGTGTAGTCAGTTGGAACGGTAGAGTGGGCTGCTGCACCCTTTTATAATAACCTTCGATCCAGAGTCCATCGTTGCACCCTCGATTCGATGTGGGTATCATCGTCCTCCGAAGTCTGTAATCGCAAACAGTAGTGTGAGTTGGGTTTATTTTATTGAGATGGTTTTGAGTAAGGTCGAATAACAGCGGATGCTCAGGAAGAATAATCATATATTTAAATAATAATTAAATGATTATTATATAATAAATATATTATTTGAGCTCTTATAACCAGTTTCTACAAGATATATGTATATAATATATACATATATAATAATTATATAAATATTTTTTTTCTCTAGTATGACTAATTAACTTAGTCTCGAAGAAAGATAAAAGTTTCCTTCAAAGCAAACTCTGCTAATTAGTAATAACTTTGTGTTGTGTATTTTTTTATGTTATCTTTGGCTTAAGAGTCCAAAGCGGGGATTCCTTTATTTGTTGAATGTAAATAAACATACAGATAAAATACAGATAAACAAAACTAACGCTCTAAAGGAAAAAATAAAGCATAATCCACTTATTCAAAATTATTTTCCAAAACGAAAAATAATGCAAAAAAATTTTTGATTTAAATTGATGTCCTCTTTTTCTTAATTTTCAATTTTTAATAACTTGTTTTTCCATTCCATTTCCTCCATTGCAGCGCTGGCGTCGACGCTGGTTCACACTGAAGCAGGGCGAGATACCCGAGCAGTTCTGCCTCGAATACTACACCGACCACAACTGCCGCAAACTGAAGGGCGTCATCGATCTGGATCAATGCGAGCAGGTGGATTGCGGGCTGCGGCTGGAGAATCGCAAGCAAAAGTTCCAGTACATGTTTGACATCAAAACGCCCAAGCGCACCTATTACCTGGCTGCAGAGACGGAGGCGGACATGCGTGACTGGGTCAATTGCATCTGTCAGGTGTGCCACCTGCATGACACCAAACAATCGAATGAGCTGCCATTGGGCGCTGTGGGTTTAGGTGAGTGGGATCCCAAAATCATTCTCCCTGAGTTCCTCAAATCTATCTTTAAACTCATTTCACAGATGAAAACCGTACTCAGCACACAAGCTCCAGTGGCGGACTGAGCAACTCCACTCAGAATACCACCACCACTTCGCTGCACTCCTCCGCTGGCACCACACAAGCCACACAGTCTGTCGCCAGTTCCGGAGCTGGAGGTGGTTCTACCACACAACTTCGACGACCGGCGGTCATTGAACAGCAGCCGCTGCCCGCCGGTAACAATAACTCGGACTCTGTGTATGTCAACACAGAGTACAGTAATCGCGAGTCGATGCTTTGCGATGGTAACTTTGATCAGCAGGATCTGCTCTCGGCTGCCCAGCAGCAGCCGCCGCCATCGCCAGCCACGGCTCTATATTTAAATCACAGTGCATTGATCCAGGCCCAGGCAGCAGCTGCAGCCGCCGAGCAACAGCAACAGCAGCAGCAGCAAGCTCGCCTGGCGGTCAGCGCTAATGGTGTAGTACGGAAGCTACCCGAGCATCTGGTGCTCAACCAACAAACTTTGGCTGAGGCAGCTGCCCAGCAGTGCAGTGTGCAGGCATCGCCCGCTTTAAGTACCGCCTCTGGGCCGTATATACCCATTAGTGAATGTTTCTCGGGAAGTCCACGGTACCTGCCGGGCACTGGGCTACCTGGTGGAGTAGGACCAGGAGCAGGAGCGGGAGCTGGAGAAGTGGCCATACCAAACAATCCCACAACGCCGTTAAATAACTTGGACCCAAAGTTTTATGATACGCCGCGTAGTCATAATAATATTGGTCTGAATCTGACCAATGATCAGTCCTACTCACCGAAGATCACCAATTTGAGTCTGGTAAGTTTTGGTTAAATGTTAAAATTTTATATTTGCATACTTTACCGATATTTGACAGAAAAGTTTATAGATATGAATCTATATTTCCATCTTCCTTTTCATTTAAATTATCTTAATAAATAATCTTTATGTTTTTAATTACTTCAGCAACAATTGGCCAATGCCAATGCTAGTAAACAACGCTCGGATTCCGATTCGGAGAGTGTTTTCACGGATGACGATGAGTGGGCACATCCTTTGCCTCTACGCGAGAATGTGGGTAAGTTGTCAGAAAATCCCCTACCTCCCAAAACAAAACTTATAATAATAACCCTGAATTTATTACAGATCGCAGCACCAGACCCTCGGATAGTTCCATCGAAAACGAATCCTTTGTGCTGACCTACTCGCAGCGTTTCTCCAAAATGCCAGAAGAAGGCGGTGGGGGAGCAGCACAAGCGCAGTCAGTGGAAAAGCTGAATTCCAAGCAGCCTGCAGGAGCAGCAGCTTCATCTGTCCCAAGTGGTGACCATCGAACGCTTGAGAAACTGGCCAAGGTGCTAAAAAACAAGAATAATCTCATATTGGACTTTAAGGAGAATGAAAAGTGAGTGAAAATAGAGTAAACATTAATGAACTTTGTGTAAATAATATATTCCTGAAGGATTCCCCGTGATCTGCCGCAGCTTTCGGATACGGAGAACACTTCCCCAGCCATTGTGGCGCGTCGCAATGCCCATTCGGCATTCATTGAGGAAAGCTATGACATTCCACGCTCCCATCAGCTGCCCTACTATAATGTGAACCAGCTGCTAGGCGAGCGCCCGGTGGTGGTCACCAGTCCGCACAATAGCAATCCCATTGCAGCATCTACACCGAATCTCATGGCCGCTACTAGTGCCGCCTTGACAGCTAGCGCAGCGGCTACCAATCCTGGCCAGATTCCTGTTGCATCGCCCACCACCAGTGCGGCTCGAACCCTGCCACGCCCACACTGCTATACAAATGCGGCGCCCACAAAGATGGAGGGCAATGTATTTCGTTATGATTTCATGGAGCAAGCAGACTGTCCGCCAGTTAATCGCAAGCTGAAGCCCAAGGTGGTGGCTGGGACGCCAGCTTTGGAGGATAAGCCGCCAGAGGAGTTCCCGGCCAAGCCGCCGGTGGGTGTAGAGCATTTAACCAGCAAGCTAGGAGCCGCCCATTTGCAGCAACAGCAGCAACAGGGCGTAGTGGGACCACCCAGTGTGGATCGAAAGTGCAAGCCAAATGCGTACAAGGTGAGAAGCTGTAGAAAATTTATGGGAATTCATTTTATTAATTTGTGATTATTTTAATTTCAAGCTGGGAACTTCGGCTACCATGTCACCGGCAACGCGTCGATCCTCTGGAGCCCCGCTCTCCATGGTGTTGCCACATGAAACGGATGTTCATTCGCCGGCGGCGGCTGCCTATTTCCATGAAACACGCACCCTGCCGCGGCAGCAGCATCGTCAGCAGCATCATCATCATCATCCCAATAGTCCTGGTAGCATGTCAGTGCAACATCAGCGCACAGTTTCGGCGGTAGCTGCCATGTCAAGCTCGGGGGGAGCATCGGCAAAGCAACAGCAGCCGCCGGCAGAGCACAAGCTGCAGTACTTAGAGCTGGATGTAACCAACAAGCCGCCGCTGAATAGTTCCAGCTTGAATGTTGGTAATCTGTACACCCAAGGCGGCAATGCAGCCAGTGGAGCCATGCGAATGTCCGTTGTGGATGCGACCGGTGCCAGGGGTCCAAAGCCCAGCAGTGTTGTTTACAATTCGGTGGATTTCCTTAAGACGGAGGCATTTAAGAGGATACGGGAGGAGCGCAACAAGGAAAGCACCGAGAGTGGCAAGTGATTCGCCCTCCTGCCACACAACTTGACAACGTGCAATAACCAAGGAGACGACCGACCGACCACGTTGCTGCGGATCCACTAGTAGTGCCTATACATACAAAAATATATATGAAATAACAGTGCAAATTCCGATCGTCGAATTCACAGACCATTATTCACTCTCACACATATCTAGTTTGTAAGTCTTTTATCCTTGAATCTGTATTCTTCATCCTCACCTGAAAATCTGTGTCGTTCGTCGATTCATGTTTAAATCGTGCTTCCAACACTTCCACATATTTATTGTTAAGCTTTCGGTATCAAAATAACGATGTAACCATGACAAACAAGCGATCTTAGTGCTAATTTTACAAATGCAAGCATGCAAGCAAAATATTTATATATTGTATACACGAATTTTATATGGTAACAAATTATTTACAATTCATAAATGTAACACATGTGTGCGACAACGCAAGCTGTAGCTTGATATTGTGCTTTAAAGAAATATATATACAATAATAATACCAAATTGTGTCTTTAATTTGTTGCAACTTATTAACCTTAAGAACTTTATCTCAAAAAGGTTTTTGTTTGTTAGCAACCATTGTTTGAAGTTTAAACAATCAAAGTCAACTCAGTAACACCTGGCAACGCACAAATTTACACCAAACAAACAATCATTATTATACGAATAGTCGGTATAACGTAGTGTACGCTTTAGAGTTCCTTACTTTCAACCTTATATTATTTGCATAAGCATGTCGCTGGTCTACATAACCCATCACGATGAGAATATTCTGGAGTGTGAGCAGGACTTTGTCTCGGGGTCCAAGCCTTCCGTTTCTTGTTACAAAAATCGTAAGTTACAAAAGCTTAAAAGAGTATATCTTAACATATTTTGTCTTTCTCCTAGCCACTGTTGAAAAGGCCGCCAGGCTTGCCAAGAAACTTCGCGAACGATTGAACGAGGAGGACAAGAAGCTGTCTGTTATCCTGCAAAACGATGGCACTCGCGTTTTGACCGAGGCTAAGAAATCGCTGCATCGCACCATGGGCTATGCCCACACACCCATTAATCCACCGAATGCATTTCTGCGTAAGAATCAGGGCGTCAAGTGGCGTCGGGAGAACACCCACAAGTGTCCCAAGGGTATGCCTATGCCGCCTTTGCCACCGCCAGGCAGTGTCGGTAAGACAAACGTGGCTCCTAACTTTATTAAACGCAACAAGGAGTCGGCTGGAAAGACCGTCACCTGTCCGCAGCCTCCTCGCTATGTAGACACACCCGTGGGTACGCGTCACAATCTCCTCAGCTCGGGCTTGGTGCCGCAGCACTTGGCTCGCAAGGATTTCGGTAAGATTCCCGTTTACCTCAAGAGAACCAAGAAAATGTTGGCCGAGGCGAATGCCGTTTGTGCCAAGGAGCAGGCTCGTCTGCTGGAGCTGTGTCGCGGCATTAAGGGTTATACAAGGACTTCGCTTACCAATCTCGGCGGTCCACCGGAAGTGCCCGGCATGCGGGTAATGGGCCAGGCCGAGCGCAACGAGATTCTTGAGGGTCTGCGCATGAGCCTCACCGAGATGACTAAACAATATCAGTCTATGTCTCTGCTTATTGATAGCCAAGCAAAGAGACAGCGCAAAAGCAAGCTGGAGACCGATTTGCGCCAAGTGGAGCAGGATATTCTGCTGATCGAAACAACGCCCATCATCTATGTTTCCGAGTATTAAACTTAAATTCTTTTCGTGTGTGTCTGTGTCTGGCAGCAGAGTGGGTCTATCCTTTGGTTTCCCCACTCCGCTTTTAGAGGCGGACACACGCACACACAATCCCATTTGTATCTTAAGGTTGAAAATAAATTGTAAGGTTTATGCATTTAAGAGCTCCTCCGTGAAGCTGCCATGACAAAAGGGGCAGGTTATTTGCTGGCTGTCATTGTGCTCGTAAAGCTCCTGCAGGTTCTCCAGCTCCATTAGGATTTGACGATCACAGAGGGTGCAGTAGCGACGCTCCAAGCTGAGGGAGATCTGCAAAAGGAAAGAGATTTTTCGCTTGAAATTTGAGGAAACTTAAAGAAAATATATTTAAATTACGATTTATCTATTTCTAAATATATATTTATTAAATTTATAAATGGGTTTACTATATTCTAAAGTTATTTAAAGGATAAATGAACTATATTGGTATAGTGTACCTACCTCTAAATAGGACACACAACAGCGTATTCCTGGCATTTCTGACTCTGGATCCATATTTTTAGGAGGATTACCACCACCCAGCTTTAAATGCAATATCTCTAAATGTGTGCTTATATGTTCCACAAAGGCATTGGTGGTGCATTTCAAAGGATGATTCTCATTAAAGTCGGATTTAAGTTTATTAATCAGTCGAAAAGCCTCCTTGAACATGCTCTTGGCCGCCTCCTCCTGGAATGGCGTTAATTTACTCAGTGTCCGTAGGAACTGAAGTCGCAGTCTGATGTGTGTGGTGACTAGCATTGCCAGAAGCAGTTCCATTTCGTCCAGGAACTTTCGGGCATGCTCCGTCAGCTCCAGAAAGTTCGAATGCAGGTGGGCAATAGCTTGCAGGACATGATATTTAATTTTAAGCTTCAGCAGCTGCGAATCTGTGGCATCCTCAGCAAATTGAAAAGAATCCAATGGACTAAAATTGAGATATGTTTGCAGTTCCTTTTGGGAAAATATCTTCATGCGCAGCTCGGCCAAGTAGTCGGTGTACGGATTAATGGGCTCGTTGAACTCTAACTTTTTAGCCAGCCGGGCAAGGGTTTCTTCCGCATTCTCATCCTGTAGCTTACCCACCTGAACAACTATTTGACTTCGTTGCCATAGGTGCGAGTTCATGTACTCTTTGTTACGGTTAAGGAACACGGTCAGCAAATTGCCATTTAAACTGTAGCTGAGATCCAAAACCTCAAAGTTTTCGAGCATGTCCATGGGTATGGATTGCTTTTTTAGACTAAACTCTTGGCCTTCATGGCTGATTTGAATGCGGTGCAGGTTTTTGCTTATGTTTCCCACAACGTAGCTATTGTGGCCAAGTGCAGAGAGACCGGTGATCTTCATTCCTCCAACATAGAGACGTGTTTCCAGCCACTCTTCGTTCTCTCCGGAGACTTGCATACACCAGGTAAGCAGATGTGCCGCCTTGCAGCAGGTTATATAGTAGCAGCCTCTCTCGGGACACCGGGTTATCACTCCCCTTTGCAGACCCATGCGATCCGCTTTGCTCCACAATTCTTTGACCAGTACTAGACAGGATTCATTCGAGGTGGAAACTCTGTACAGTCTGATGGTTCCTTTCACATCACCCACGAGTAGAAGATCCTCGAAAGCCTGAAGAAAGCAAATGCGATCCAAGCTGGTCTCCAAGACTTTGTGCTCACGCAGAGTTTGTACATCTGAGCTCAGGCTAAGCAACCACAAGCTTCCATTGGCGGTGCCCAAGACCAAGGCATGTCCCTGATCTTGGCTGGTAAGCCAAGCAAACATCGTGATCCAAGCGCGATCCATAAAAGCCTGATACTTTTGAAAGTTGTTGATTTTCGAAGACTTCATTGGCGGCAGCAGGTTATCCCGTAGGATCACAGCCACATTAAGTGACTCCAAAAGACTCCAGCCGGGATACTCCGAGGGTTTGCTCATAAAGATGATAGAACCACGGGTGTTGAGTGAAGCCAGTAATAGATTTCCATTTGGTAGCAAACCATTTGCCTTTTTTACAGCTCTCAGTTTAGCAGGTGGCACGGCTGCAGAGCAAACTGACGTGTAGACTGGCTCCAAAGCCAAAGCTTGAGCCTCAAGGACATTACAGCTTTCATAGATGCTCTCCAGATTCACTTGGTTAGCCAAAACATCCAGGGGTCGTGGATCCACTGCACTACACTCAAAATCCGCCAAAATGTATGAAAAGGGAGCTGAAAATGTGTTTTTATGGGTCATCTCCAAGGTGACCACGCTCGATTTTGAGCCAATTAGAGCTAGAAAGTCGCCATCTGCATGACTTGCTAGGAAGTCTTCAATGGTATCCTGACGAATATCGCTTTGAGCGAGCACTGTGAACTGTGGATTAGCTGGGGAATTTAAAAGAGGAAAATTAAAGGTTAAATGGTATATTTAAAGACCGAGGAAAATAAAAGATAATAATAAAGATTTTAAAAGCTTGTTCAAAAGAGTATTACGATTAAGTCTCACGATAAGATCGTGTTATTTTACTGAAAAGATTATTAATAATTATTTCCTTCTTTCTATAGAATTTAAGAGTATTTGTAAAGTGGTGCTGATTATCTTAAGTGAAATCCATAAAATAATATACTTTTTGTTAGTACGAACAGAGCGAGCACAACAAAACCCACAATAATCGGCCGTCTGCCCGCAATGCAACAGTGTGTGTGCTTATCCCCTCCCCCCACACAAACACACACACACACTTACGTTTACCGCTGTCTTGGCCGCCGCCAGAAATTGTTGTCTCAGTACAACTCGTCATTTCGTCGCGCAAAGTTCAGAATTCCCAAGTTCAGTATGGCGAGCAAGAAGTTTGGCCTTGATTTCGTGAAGAATGTGTCCCAGTACATCAGCGGCACGCAGAGCTTTGACCGGGTCGTGAAAATGGTACGATTACAAGAAAATGCAACAAATTGCAAGCGACGCACATGCAAAACAAAACAGCTGGCGGCTGAGCCAGTGATGTGTTATGTAACAAGCCCCAGTTATCGATAAGCGAGCGGGGTATTGAAACTCTCATCTCTATGAAGAGAGGATTGATTTTTAAATATTTTCTCATTTAATTTGTCTTAAAAAATAAGTAAATTCCCTTGACTAAATACAGTTAATTATTTTCAGATACAAATCACGGACGGCGGCGATGGTCGTGCTGTGGGAGAGTTCACTGTGGAGAAGGAGCATCTGAATCGCGGTGGGACTTTGCATGGCGGTCTAACCGCCACCATTGTGGACAATGTCACCACATACGCCCTGATGTCCAAGGGTTCGCATCCTGGAGTCTCAGTGAATCTGAACGTGAACTATATTTCGCCAGCTAGACCTGGTGAAGTCGTTGAGGTCGAAGCCAATACTGTCCGGGCAGGCAAGAAATTGGCCTATTTGGATTGTGTTCTCAGGCGGAAATCGGACGGAAGGATCATCGCCAATGGTGGTCAAGTCAAATTTGTTGATTTTGATAAGGACAAGAAGGATTTCTAGAAACTGAAATAGTTAAATTTAAATAATGAATTAAACTATCTATCGATATATCGATTGGTTCTTCGATAGCTCTCGAAAACAGCTGTTGTTTTGTTTATATTTTGTAACTTGGTTATCTTTTCCGTCTAGAAAAAAACGTATCTTTCCGGTTATTCCGGATGTAGTTTGGTAGGATTCCTGAAAATTTAATTTCATTATGTCGTAATTGTTCACTTTTTAATTCAAATTCTCAGAATAAACACTAGCAGCTAAAGGTTTGTGGGAGACGTAACACCTAATCAAAAAATTATGGGAACTCGCAAAAAGGGCTTGGAATTCGCCAAACACATAACCGAAATTATAACCAAATCAACGGGATTTGAAAATCAGCTTAACAAGGTAAGAATTGTAAATTAAGCTTTATTATTTTTTATCTTAAACCTTTTTTCATTCATTTCAAGGTGAAGATCTTGGGTGGCGGCGATGGAACCTGCTGTGCCGAACTGAAAGTGGACCAGGATCATGTAAATGTAAGCAATTACCTGCACACCGGCTACATAGTGACCCTGGTGGACATGATAACCACATACGCCTTGATGTCAAAGCCTTGTCATCCTGGCGTTTCGGTAGATATCAGCGTGAATTTCTTGAAGGGCGCTAAATTGGGCGACGACATAATCATTGAGGCAAATCTCGCCAAGGCGGGCAAGAACCTGGCCGTCATTGACTGCACGCTGAAGAATAAGAAGGATGACTCAGTGATAGCCAAGGGCACTCAACTCAAATACGTGAATTTTGAATAGGCAATTAATATAAAGAGGCTGCACAAACACCAATTTAATTGGTTGAAAATGGGGATTAATTCTCAAAACTGTTAAATAAACTTGCTTGAGAATCTATTTAGTTAAACGAATGTGAATACATGGTGTATATTTCCTTGTTTTTGCAAATTGTTGTACCCTTGCAGGGTTTGAATTTGATGATTTTTTGGCTTAGGTGTGATCGATTTTTGATTCGATACTATGATCCTATGGCAAACTGCAAGGTTGTAGAAATTAGGGCTTCCCAATATTAATTCTCAATATTACATTTTTCAAATAAGAAAGATTTTGTAAAGGTACAAATTGTTACTTTTTTAAATAAATCTTCAAACCTCTTGATCGTTCAATGGAGATCAAAAACAATAAAGGAGCTTCTAAAGGAAATATCCTTTGATGTTTATCGATTTAAAAACGATATATACATATAAAAATGTCGATTAATACGATTATTTTCCAGTTCTCCAACAGATAACTCTACCAGAAGCTGTAAAATAAATCTAAAAAATCGACTTACCTAAGATATTTCAAAACTTTTTTGAGTGCTTAAAATTTCCCTAATCCCGAAAGAAAACTATACTCTCTCTATGGGATATTAATGTGCTTTATTTTATTACATGTGTAGCATTGTTACATTGTTAATCGTTAGTTAATTGTCAATTAAACATGCTCATTTCGCGATTGCCAGAGTTTCTTTTGCTTCGAGTTGGCTTTCGCTTTGATTAGAGTGAGTGAGTGGCTACACCTACGGATAAACGTGTACATCGATATGCGTATTTCATGGGGCTCTGTGGCTACTTCACTTGATATTCGTGGGCAGTGCGGGGCAGTGGGGGCAGCAGGCCTCGGGTGGCGTCAGTGGATCCACTCCCGGCGGACACGAGACCTCGCCGCAGCGCTCCCTCAGGCAGTTGACCTGGCCATGGAAGCAGTTGCACTTGGTGCAGACATCCGGCGACCACACCTCGTTGTTCAGTCGTGTGGTGCCCTTGTCGTCCACGCAGTGGCTCCTCTTGGGCTTGGTGGACACCACCACCGGCTGAGCGGGTGCTGGAGCCAGCTGAACTACAGGCTGCGGTTCGGAGTCCACGGCATTGCAGGATTCCTCCAGTTTACGCAGCTTCTTGTGCAGCTTCTTGAGATCCTTTTGGAAACTGCCAATGAGCTCCTCGAGACCACTGACCCGCTCCTCGTTCACATCGTACAGAGACTCCAAGGGACTGTCATAGCTCTCGGCAGTGGTGGTTATATCCTGCTGGTGGAGATCCCGCTTCTGCCGGGAGCTCCTCTTCGTGTAAGTTTGTGGTATGAAGGACTCAAATATGGCGGGGGGATTGTTGCACCTGCCGCACTCCTGCCACAGATAGAGATTGATGCCGGGGATGTCCTCGCACTTCTTGTAGCCACCCTGGTGCTTAGCCAGCACAAAAACATTCTCTGTGACCTGGTCAAAGTTGTCGCCAACATCGCAAAGGACTCGTCCGAAGTTGGACTGCTTGATTTGGACCAACTGTTCTGGGGTGAAGACGCCAGGATTCTCGTAGTACAAGCGATCGCCATCACGCAGGCGTCGGAACTGCTCAATGAGCAGGCATTGGAAGAGCGGACCGACCTTGCCGCCCTCCACCTGATCTTCCAGGATGCCGCCCAGCCACACGTCCACGTTGTCCGGGTGTCCATACAGTTCCTTCATCTTCTGCCTGATCTCGGCGTTGCTAATCTCTCCCGCAAGATCCTCAAAGTCCTGGGCCACCGTCAAGTTGCAGAACTTCCTGTAGACATTGTAACCGGGCATTCCATGATCTCTGCCTCTTTGGATGTTAATGGCAGCCAGATCGAGGGCCACGGCATGCGCCGTCTGGAATAGCTTCTCCGTGAGCTCCGTATTCAGATTCTGATCAGGAGTCTTGAGCTTGGCAGGCACGGCCAGGAAGCCTCTCATCAAAGGATCCACTCCACCCTCGTAGGCCAGACGCCAGGGCGCAAAGAAGGCCTTGTGGAGCAGCAGATGACCCTGGGGTATGGGCTGAAAGGTCTCATTCAGTCGGTGCAAAATAGGATTGATGATGGTGTGGCCAAAACGGAGAGCAGCGGTGGCAAACTCATTGGCAATGCTGGGATTAACCGAAGGATCATAGCCCTTGTATTCACCCAAAATCTGCATGCCACTCTCTCCGATGATCAAGGGAAGCCACTGCTTAAAGGTGATGTGCTGCATCTGGGCGCCTACAATCTTTCTGGCCTCCTGATATAGCGTATCCCCATCCCAATGGGAGTTGATATCCTTGAGTTTCTTGGCCAACCGATTGTGCTCCCTCATCCAAATGGTGTGCATGGCCAGAAGACCCACTTGTTCGTTGACTCGAATATCGCCGGACACAAAGCAACTCATGGTGTTCTCATCCAGGTTCCTGCGGCAATCCATGCCATCCTGGGGTGCAGCAAATGGCAGCATGTCTTTCTGACGGGGGAAGTGGACTCCCACTCGAAGAAGACCCTCCTCTGCCGTAAGATTCCTCAGTTCCTGGGCAAAAGGCTTGCTGTAGCCATAAACCTGAGAGGCATCTATGTAGGATGTTAGCTGGTTGATCTGCTCACGGTGCTGGACGCTGTCGAAGAAGAGCGAGGTCATTCCGGAGCCACAGATGGCACTGGAACGCACCACATCGATGCAGCGACGATTGCGGACTCGCGGATCATTCGGTGGCACTTCAATGGGATAGCAGGGCGGCGCCATTTCGCAGCTCTTCTTGCAATCAATGCCATCCCAGCTCTCCGAACTTACCGAGGGTATGGCATGATCCAAGTCATGATCCAAGAACTGACCCCACTGCATCACCATGTGCGTGATCCTGGCATCTGGAGTGATCTCCTTGGTGGCCACAATCGAGGTGGAAACCAGACGAGCACTGGGCTTGGCATGGCCGGAGTATAGCATACCTTTGGTCCAACCCACGGGCATGCTGAAGCCATTCTCATAAATTGGCGGCGCCAATCTCCGGAAGGCGGTGAGCGAGGCACCCCAAGTGGGATGCTGCAGATTGTTGCATGTGCCATCGATGCTACGGTAACGCGAATGATAGCACATATCCGTGCAGTTGGGCATCTCACGGTGCTCCATGCACCCGGAGAGCTCGGCCACCAGATGCAGGTGCTCTCGCGAAAGTAGATCTCGGAATTCATACTCCTCACTAGCCATGGTCAGGTTGTCACCCTGCTGCACATGCTTTCGAATATTTACTAAAGTCCGCTCGTAGATCTCGGCTGCTCGGGCCAACTGGCGAGCTTCACCAGTGGGAAAGCGGAAGACACGCAGGAGGTCACCATAGTTGGGTGGCGCCTTGTCGGAACGATTGGAAAAGAGCATGTCCAGGGTGTTGTTGATGGCCAAATCGATCTCCTTGGCGGCCTCGGCGAAGGCAATGCGCACATAGCGATCGCCAGGGGCCAAGTCTACATTGTTTCTGAAAGGGAGAGGTAAGCATAAAATTAATATAGTTTTAGACTTTAAAAAGGCACTTTAATATTACAGAAAATTATATTTTACTAATTTTTAAAATTCTCCTAATACTCCTAATAAAAAAACCCCAGAAAATAGCACCTAGTCTTATCAAGAACTTGTTCTAATTTCCAAGACACCAACAGTTGAAAACCAACCTCCATAAAACAGCGCACAAAGTGCTGAAACAATCAAGATATTTTAAGGAATTTGCACATTTTAATTACCATAATGCCAGGGCCAGGAGTCGAGGAGTCGCGAAGTCGAGGATTCGCAGGACTCCAAGGAGACTCACCCAAATGGCCGCCTTGTCTAATAAAAATGCCCGACAGTCTATTTCCCTTTTCTGCGCCTGTCCCTTCGCTTTGCCACGAAATTATGCTGCATTTTTCCCCGCCAGCAAAAAAAAAGATGGAAAATCCGCGCTTTCCTTTCCAGCTCTGACTGTGGCCAAGGATGGGAAGTGGCCCAGACCAGGCCAGGGCAGCATTAACAACAATTCATGCCTGGCATTCTACGCTGTGCTGGCAAGGAATGCCCCTCCTCTATGAAACTTTCGCCTGTGTAAACTTTGGCATTGTGCTGCGGCGAAGGCGACGTTGTAGGTAATAACTTAACGACCATAATACACCCTGTTGCTGCGAAAAGAGTCTGCCACTATGAGTTCTGGCTCTGTCTCTGGCTCGGACTCCCTCCTTGGCCAGGCAGTGGATTTTGTGGACCCGCCAACTACATATTTCTATACTGCCATCCTGTGGCTGCCCTTTTGCCTGCTGTTTCAAACAGTTGGCAATTGTTTAAGGGTATTTCGGACTTTGGTCATGGGGAATATGAATTTTGGGGGAAAATGTATAGAAGGGAATTTATTTAACATTAAAGCATTATTGTATTTAAATACCTTAAAGTATCTAAAACAATTTTAAACAATTTAAATTTTAAAATGAACCTAACAGAAAAGTAGGTAAAGCCATTCCGGGCTTAACGAATATTTTCTTGATATTTTTTCCCTTATAAAAGATCACTCCTTTATCCTAAAAAACTAGATGACATGGTACAAAAGGCTTTTGAAGATAATTTCTAGTGTTTTATATATTATTTTTTTTTAATGAAATTGTATTACATGTAATATTCTAAATATTAACTAAAATTGCAGTTTTCTTCCGTTATTAAATTATTAAAAAATAGCAATCAATTTTAGTGCCTTCTTTTTTTTATTTCTTAACAAGGTATTCTTGCTGTCGCCACATTGGCTGCTGCCTAATTTTGTGTAAAGTTTTTTGTTGGCTTTGGCTTCCGCTCCTCTGCAGTTCTCGCTCTTCACTCTCGCCTTTGCCACATGCTGTGGCGTATGGCAATGTATTTCCGTGGTTAGCCCCTTTGCCAGCAGCACTAGGATCGGGAGCAGGAGCAGCAGTAGAACCAGGAGCAGAAGCAGCAGCAGGAGCAGGATGAGGTTCCAGAGCAGCAACAACAATGGCAGTAACAGGATAAGCTTTTGTTTTACGCCAACATTACCCCACAAACTTAGGCGGATTTCTGTGCTTTTGGTTGTTGTTGTTTTTTGCCATTGTTGCCGTGGTTGGGTTGGTCTTTCAG